GGTGTTTTGGGTTATATCGGCATACTTTAACATAAGGAACACCCTCCCGAAGTTTGGTCCATTCCTCCTGGGACACTCTGTATATATATATATATATACAGTTCGTCAGATAATTGTACAGCAGCTTTCGCATGAACCGGGACTTGCAGACCACATGACGCATTTAGACCACCCACTGTAAATATAATTATAGATTCTGTTAATGAAATGTCCGTGGGTCGCTTTTGAAAATCACTATCCTACTCATTCGGCTCAAAAAATTTCAGCCCCAATTTGACTAGCTATCCCAAGATATGGTGTGGTTCAATATATTTTACTTCAACACAGTTCGTGCTGACGCCGTTCTGGAAACGGCTATTATCCTGCTTCATTCCGGAAAGTGCGAAGGCATATCAAAATATTTTTAAACAGCTGCTGAAGAAACTAAATAAAATACTATTTTGAATTGTTTCATTTTGGTCCGTTACACTATTAATCACCAATTGTCAATAGATTTTCCGTCAAGTGCAACGCAATACACATCGCGTAAGATACACCCGACCACAAGCCCACACAACCCCGTGCTGACGCCTCCCTCCATTGGGACGATTCACCTAGAAGGAGCCTGAATATTTTACTTGAACGTTTTTCAATTTTTAACTTTAAATTTTAACGTTGACGACTCGGTTTGAGGGTGGCTTTTAGATGCAAGTGTCATACCTGCATTCAAGATACTGGGAAGTGTTGTGCTTTACATTCCGATATATGTAATAGTCTCCACAAATAACTACATACTGTGGATGTTGAGCTGTGCCAGTGTTTTCATGATTTGTTGTAAGTGCCTCTGAAGATGGTTCTTTGGAACCGAAACATGTAAGGCAGACGAGATAATAAGTGACCAAAATATATATTGTTGCACTTGACGGAAAATCTATTGACAATTGGTAAATAAAATACATCAAGACAGCCATTAGAGAATGAAGTATTACAAGAACATGGCATTCATAAAAGCAGCATAACTCGACATCTAGCAAATGTCAAGGCCAGAAAGTAACACTGTGCGGTAATCATGGAATGTCCCTGAATGCGGCACTAAAGGTTTACACTTGCATTAATTTGTATTTCTTTCAGTATTTATAATTAGAGTGTGGTCTCATTTTATGCGAATTTTAAATAGTGCGATATAAAAAATATTAATAAAGTCTCAGTTCATGCCCGAAGTTTGAAGTAATGTGAATCCCGTTATTAAAAAACTCCGTGGATTTAGTCCGCAAGTGAACTATATCGACCGAGCGACCGTCTCGGCGAAGTTAGTGTCAACTTTTGGGGATAGAGGGTGTGGCGTGGTTAGCGCAACGAATCCCCACGGCCGTTAATTTCGGTTTTCTAGACCGGAGTCACTACTTTTCCATTCAAGTAGCTCCTCAAATTTCCTCACGAGGCTGAGTGGACGCCGTTCCAGAACCACTACTTCTCAGAAAATCTGGTAGCGCCAGGAATTGAACCCGGCACCTCTGGATCTGTAGCCGGGAACTCTGACTACTAGACCACAGAGACGGTCACCCCGTTATTATTATTATTATTATTATTATTATTATGAAAAGAAGCCGGGATAGTGTAGAAGAGTGGGTACGGACTGGACGACCGACGGGTCGGAGTTCGAGTCCCGGTAGGGTCAAGAATTTTCTCCACATCGTTCAGACCGGCTCTGGGGTCCACCCAACTTCCTATCCAATGGGTTACCGGGTTTCTTCCCAGGGGGGTAAAGCAGCCGGGGCGTGAAGCTGACCACTCACCTCTAGCTACTGCCGAGGTCAGGAAAACCTGAATCTATATATCCACCCCCCCATACGCCTTCATGGTGTAGTGCTTAATTAGTTAAGCACAGGGACAGCTTCCCCCCCCCCTTGGCACTACAGCCCCAGTATGCCTAGGCCTACCTCCATGAACTTCTCCGTTCACTTCGGTTTTTCTAGATCTTACACATTCGGTAGGACTCCTTGGGCGGGTGATTAGCTCGTCGCAAGGCCTCTACCTGTACACAAACACAGAAAAACGCACACAAACATCCATGCCCTGAGTGGGATTCGAACCCACCATCCCGGCTTCCGAGCGAGCGAAGACAGTGCATGCCTTAGACCGCTCGGCTACCGTGGCCGGCTTCAGGGACAGCTTTCCCCTTTGGCACCACAGCCCAGTTGGGCCTAGGCCTACCTCCATGAACTTCTCCGTTCACTTAGGTTTTTTCTAGATCTTACACATACGGTAGGACTCCTTGGGCGGGTGATCAGCTCGTCGCAAGGCCTCTACCTGTACACAAACACAGAAATACGCACACAAACATCCATGCCCTGAGTTGGATTCGAACCCACGATCCCGGCTTCCGAGCGAACGAAGACAGTGCATGATGGACAGCTTTACCTTACCTTTATTTTTACGAGAAAACTTGTCTTGAACTATGCGGGATATTTAGGAAAGCATCCCTCGCATAAAATACGACCGTAGGGTATGTTAAAAATATGGGGAAGTTTCTGTGTAGGGGTAAAATTACTTAGGCGTATTGAATATGACTTCAATATTTGCTGAAACAGAACTGGGCCTCCAGAAGACTGGTATAAAACAAGTGTCTCCTTATCCTATGTAAGGGCAATAATGCAGCACGAGGCAAATGTTACAACATAACAATTACATCCATGCTTAGGTGCTGTTTCATTCACAGGTAGCAGCATTTTTCATACGCCATAAAACATGCAATTCAATGGATATCTTCACCAAATCTGTCAATTTTGCATTCTTCCATCGATCTGGCAGATAAATAATTTCTCGCCAATTCACCCGACTTCTGCTCCGTATCCGGGAGGTTCAAGGTTCAAATCTCGGAGGAGAGACCGACTATTCTGAGGTTTCCCATAGCTTTCAGTTCCTCTAGGCAAATGTCAGGACACTACCCAAAATTATGGTAAGTCAATTCCCTCCACGTCTTCTCCAGTACATTACTATGCGGTGATATATCGCTATAATGTCCGAATTATTATCACTGTCGTTAATTAAAATATAAATAAAAAAATACATATGTTGGTTTGACCGCCTCTGGTGTCTAGTGGTCAGATGGCTACAGATCCAGAGGTCCGGGTTCGATTCCCGGCGCTACCAGAATATCTAAGAAGTAGTGGGTCTGGAACGGGGTCCACTCAGCCTCGTCAGGATAATTGAGGAGCTATTTCAAGGATATAGCGGCTGCGGTCTAGAAAAACGAAATTAACGACCGTGGGGATTCGTTGCGCTGACCACGTGACACCCTCTATCCGCTAAAGTTGGCACTAACTTCGCCAAAAAGCGGCGGTCGCTCGGTCGGTATAGTTCGCTTGCGGACTATAGGTCACAGAGGTTTTTTATATGATGGTTCGATAAATATTTTCTGAAAGGCTGACTCAATATATCAAAGTTATTTCAGGAGTAGGCCATTATTCGAGACAGACTCGATATAATCGACGATTTATGATAGATCGTTATGATATTGACTCTGAACTGTTCTTAATGACGACTGTTACAAAGTATTTTCCTGTTTATACGCTCGTAAATTAAACTACGGTTGCGACGTGTAGCACGTGTTACGACTCATAAAACAAATAGCTTCAAAACATATCTGTGGTTGATAACTCTGTGCAATAAAGTTGAATATTATCTTAAAGAGACGCGTAATTATCACAGTTCAGAGCCCAAAGAGTTGGCCAAACAGAAAAAATCATTCAGAACACAAATCTGAACATTTCTTGGTATGACATGATTCACTAAATGCCTGTGTCCGTAAATAAACCCGGGTTTTCCATCATGTTTACGTGCATTTTTTTTTTAAAGTTACAACTTATTCTGTATTTTCCTTATGGCTAACATATAACTTTAATAAACGTTTAACAGAAACGCAGTTCGTTGACAAGATTCGACCTCATGGCGGAGACTATGGAAGGTACTGCCTTCTTGTGTGTGATTTCGTGTGATCTGCTAAGTTTATCGACATATCATAAGTGCATACCGCCTGCATATACAGGGTTAAAGAGCAAACAGAGCAAGCAATAAAGCAGCCTGCTATGTGATTGCTTAATTTACTCTTCGTTCCTGAAAATGGGTTAAGTATGTTCATCCGAGATGTCAGCAAACTTCTACAACACTGTGCGACGTCATAAGCCAGAACACTGTACTCTTCGTTGTGTATCAATATTTTCAAGCAATGTATATGGGTGTTAGTCACACACCAAGTTTCGTATTAGATGGATGTATAGTTTCAGTCGGTGCTAAAATGTGTTGGGTACCAGTCCCTCCCGCCAGATGGCATGAACCTTTAAGTCACAATTAACGATAACATAACCTCACAAACAAGGTACATAAAATGTATACAAAAGTATGCAGTCTACACAATAATATTCTGTATTTAAAACAAAGTAGACACTATTGTATTAACATTTGTTTTTATTGACGCTGCATGTTTCGACCCTTATACTGGGTCATCATCAGGCGCAAAATGATACCAGACTCAGTTGTTGTATTGCATCTAACAATTTGCATCTAGTTTGTCGAAACAAAAGTTGATACGATAGTGTCTACTTTATTTTAAATATAGATATAGTTGTGTAGACTGCATACTTTTGTATACATTTTATGTACCTTATTTATAACACACAACATGATGCATACTATTAAGAACTTCATAAAATTAGATTTTGCGCAAAACTAGTTACGTCAGCTTTCTTTGTTGCTACATAGAGTACACAGTCGGTTCTGTCACTGAATATGTGTAAATTCTGTTGACTATTCAACATTTTTACACACGTAGGGTATAATGAAGTTATAGAAAAGGGGGCAGAAAAAAACAACATAATAATTAAAGTCAATCTGCCACTTAGGTCTAACAAACAGTAGACTACAAGAGTGTATTGGCCAGAAAACACGATGCAAGCGATGGAATTAAACGNTGGTAGCTCATGGCAGGGCTTCAATTAAAGAAACAGGTGACCGTGCCCTACCATTTCTTCGTCAACACAGGGATCCGAGTCACTCCTCACCGCCCGAGGTGGGGGGCTAGCCATATTCATGTATTGCAAGCGGTACTCGGATAAAGCAGGGCCCGGCGGGGCCCCAGCGGTCGTTGGGGGGCCCTCCGACTTGCTGCGGCGTGAGGGTCGTATGTGGGCCCCGCCTCGTTCCTCGGACTGCAACATGAATACAAAGGCAATACCTAGTTTGAGGGAGGGAAACGGTTCACGTGACAAAGATATCAGCTTACATAGACCCAATGTTCCCCAGTTTCACAAACATGGTTTCCTTTGTAAGATTTGAGGTTTTCACGGGGTGACTATGAAGAAAGCAGTCTTCTGGGATGTTGAGCCCTGTAGATATTGTGTTAACCGACGTTTCGGATAACGTATCGCTTCCATCTTCAGGGCAGAAGAAAATCCGCGAGCGAGGAACCAGCGTGAGCAGGTGCTAACAGACTTTCTTTGTAATTATACCCTAAGGATGGAGGCGATAAGTTTCTCCGAAACGTCGGTTAACACAATATCTACACGGCGTAACATCCCAGAAGACTGTTTTTTTTTCATGGTTTCCTTTATTTAGTTTTATGTATTTATTCACTTTGCCCTCAGAGAATTCAGTTTCATGCGATATGAACAGAGAAATTGAAATATTAAGATATAAGCAGAAACACACAATTCAAAAGGTCAGGCGTGGAACTCGATACAAAAGGGACAGCACTAAATGTATTCTCGTAAGGCACAGAAGCTGGGAACATTGGAATCTTGCAACAACACACTCGGCGCGTGAGATACAAAATTCAGTAACCGAATATGTGCGGAAAGAAAACAGTTTTCCACATTTGCGAATGCCATGCGGCGAAGTGAGGTTCGCCAGTTGAAGAAAAAAAATTATCATAATGGAAAGCACGGAAGTCAAAGATATCCACACTACGATCTAGAAACGAGAGACAAAGAAACTTTCTTTCTTAACAGGGTCTAAATTTTGTGCATTGTGGATGTCATTCTCCTATTACGTTCACTGTCACAAACACAACTTTTATTTCACAATCAAAGTAATGAACCTACCAAAAATTTTAGGAGTAGAGAAACCTACGCAATAATGCTTATAATAAGCGTATTTATGTGTATGCGGGTCTGCTCGAGAGAAGTAACGCAATCTTCTTGTGCGCTGAGACATGCATCACTCAAATAAATTGCTGGATAGTTTCTTGTATCGCCAATTAAACTACGGGTGTCAGTATATTTGTACTTTCGACATCTCTCTCGAATATCAAGTATAACTAAGCAGATATCATATTTGGGTGCTGCTTGTCGGAACAAAAACCGCCTCTGTGGTCTGGCAATCAGAGTTCCTGGCTACAGATTCAGAGGTCCGGGTTCGATTCCCGGCGCTACCAGATTTTCTGAGGAATAGTGCTACAGGGCATTATTGATAGACTAATTGAAATTGGAAGGTGCTATGGCATGGAAATGAATGTGGAGAAAACAAAAGTAATGAAAATTTCGAGACAACGAACCCCAGTCACAATAAAGATAGACCAAAACAACTGGAGAATGTGAAATGTTTTAAATATTTGGGTAGCTTGTTAACAGATGATGGAAGGTGTACTTGTGAAATTAAATCCAGGATTGCCATGGCAAAAGCTGCATTTAGCAAGAAGAAGAATCTTTTTACCAGCAAATTGGACTTAAATTTGAGGAAGAAACTAGTGAAATGCTACATTTGGAGCATAGCTCTGTATGGGGCTGAAACATGGACACTTAGGGCAGTAGATCAGAAACATCTGGAAAGTTTCGAAATGTGGTGTTGGAGAAGAATGGAGAAGATCAGTTGGACCGATTATGTGAGAAATGAAGAAGTGTTAATTAGAGTCAGTGAGCAGAGGAATATCCTACATGAAATAAGAAAACGGAAGGCTAATTGGATTGGTCATGTTTTACGCAGAAACTGCCTTCTAAAAGAAGCTATCGAAGGAAAGATAGATGGGCGGATAGAAGTGACAAGAAGACGAGGAAGAAGACGTAAGAAGATGCTGGATGACCTTGGGGACAGAAGAGGATACTGTCATTTGAAGGAGAAAGCTCTAGATCGCATTAAGTGGAGGAATTGTTTTGAAAGAGACTGTGGACCTGTCGTCTTGACAGATTACTGATGATGATGATGAGTGGGTCTGGAACGGTGTTCACTCCGCCTCGTGAGGATAATGGAGGAGCTACTTCAAGGGAATAGCGGTTCCGGTCTAGAAAACCGAATTTAACGGCCATAGGGATTTGTTGCGCTGACCACGCGACACCCTCTATCCGAAGTTGGCACTAACTTCGCTGACAAGCGATAGTCGCTCGGTCGGTATAGTTCGCTTGAGGACTAAAACTACGGAGTTTGTTTTTTGTCGTAACAAAGACATGATAATGTCTCGACAACTTGGCACTACAGTGATTTGCTCCGTTCCATATTGAAAGCCTTAAGCTACTTCTGAAGGACTTAGTTATAAAAGCAATATTCTCGTTATGGAATATCATAAGAAGCCTTGTTCAGACAAACCAAAGTCTCGAATGAGATGAAAGAACTTGGTCGGAGATGATCTGCTTGAACTGGAAGCACCTAATGGGAAATATGTAATCACATGCGGAGCCATGGAAAGATTCGAGACAAGTAGAAGTATAACATCAATTTAGATATTTATTCCCTTCGCCAATAGACTTCTTCATATGGGGTATAAGTTCATACACTCTCCGATGTGAAATAAAGACTCAATTTCTTACTCAGGCATTATGTTCCACCCTCATAAATACCGTGAACATCCTGAGGGAAGAGAAGGCTGCGCCATAGCTCAAGTGGTTAGCCTCTGGCTTCCCGGGTTCGATCCCGGGTCCGGGGGATTTATGGTGGACAAAGTGGCGCTGAGGCAGGTTTTCTCCGAGTACTTCGGTTTCCCCTGCCGATCTTCATTCCACCAATTGCTCCACAATCACCCTCACCTATCATCTGGGGCTGGTACAATAGGCCGCAGTACAAGGGACTTAGTCCCACCTCACTAGCAATAAAAAAAACATTGCGAGGGAACAGAAACCTTTCTGAAGCACTTCTTGAGGACTGGGCAACAACTTAACATCCACTGACCACTTACCGAAACCCAGTTTCCCATCATAAACAGTAATACGATCTCTTAATAAAATGACGCGAGGTAAGGTTATGTCGGCCTTAAAACGGAGCATTAACCCCAAGCTGTGGGACAGCGACGAGCCTGCCTGCAGTGGCTACTCCGCTGTCTTCTTCGGATCGATTCCCAACCGGGCCGCACGGTTGGGTCCAGACGAGACAAGGTAAGTGAATTTCGGGACATTCTGCATCCCTTCTGCCTCTGTCTCTAGGGTACACTATTTCTAAATTAAGTACTTTAAGTAATTTAATGTATTGTGCTTACGGATTGTTTGTCGTGTCGTTCTTCTAAACAGATTTGCTAAACTAAGGGCAAAATTGAGGAGACGCGAATAAGATTAGATGACACTAAAAGCGACCAGTCACGAAGAAAAGGAGAACGAGAATGGTGACGTAAGTATCAAAACAGTTCTGTAAAAATGTTCGTATTTTACTAATAAAATATTCATATCCCACAATAACTAGAGGTTACGCCGGGAGGGTAAAAGGAAAAGTTATCCTTGTGCTTAACTAATTAAGCACTACGCCATGAAGGCGTATGGGGGAGTGGATGTATATATCCACATTATCTTGACAACGGCACTAGAGGTGAGGGAGGGGGGGACTATCTATAAAAGTACCACACACTCCAATGAACTGATAATTCTTAGCAGGAATTTTCATATTCCTGATTGATTCAAAATTATACCAACAGTTCAAACCAAGGCAAAGATTTTATGTTCCTCAGAATCCATCATGAATGTGTGCTGCGGAAGCGGATGTAACTCTCAACTCATTCTATCAAACTATTTATGATACTGGCCGGTCACGGTAGCCGAGCGGTCTAAGGCATGCACTGTCTTCGCTCGCTCG